TCAACATCAATTAGCCAATCACACAGATGCATTTCTATGACTCTGCAGTAAGGATCAACAATCAGATTTCTAAATTCTAATTTTAAATCACAGCTAACCATTTATAAAATTTAAAAAAGAAGATATTAACAAAAATTTTATTATATAAATCAATATTTTAAATGACAAATTACCTAGAAGAGTACCTACTTTATACAACCATATAGTTAACTCATTTTTGCAAAAAATGCTATAAGCCATGTTTTGGTTTGATGCACCCCATATAGAAGCGATTACTCAAGAATGTCTTTACAAATTCAAATAAAATTTAAATATATTATAGAAGAATATAGATACTATCTTCAGTAAAAATTTTAGCTAATTCTAATCACTAATTATCAAGAAAAACGTTGTCAAAGTTTGATATAATAAACAAATTTTTTAATAATCAATATTAATTGATTAATAATTTATATCAGTATTAATTGATATATATCTATAATCGAATATAATCGATAGTGTTTCTAATCGATTAGTAACCCCTTTATCGATTGTAATTGATTAAAATTGATCGATACTAATCAATTAACTTGATTATAATCAACATATATCCCTTCAAAAAATTTTCTGATGTTGGATGCTAAATATCATGGGAAGACTGTCAAAGAAGAAAATACTTGACTCCAAGAAAAACACCTAAGTTATACCTGCTCTTTGGTATTTCAAATCTTTTAGGCTTTGTTAACAACAATCTACTTAAAGATAGGACTAAAATAGTATTGTTTTAGACTTTTTTATAGCATTTTTCTGTAGTTTAGTATTTTGCTATTGTTAGTCAAAGGATTATCAGAAAGTGTTGAATATAAACCAACTTTATTAATAACCAAATATAATCTAATTTTATTAATAATTATTTAACCAACTACTTCTGTAATAACTATTTTCTTAACAGTTTATTTTTAATAGTTAATTTTTTAACAGCTTATCTTATTGACAATTTTGGTTTAATTTTGGATTAGAGCTAGGTTGCTTTATAATTAGTATTAACTAAAAATAAAAAGTCTGCAAAATTTAAATATTAAAACTGTTATAGAAATAGACTATCAAGAAAATAGTTATTAAAGAAACAAGTTGTTAAAGAAATAGGTTGTAGATAAAATAGTTATTAGTGAAACTCTTGTTAGCAAAATAGTTGTTAACAAAATTTAATAAATCCTAATAGCAGATATATACATGTTTAGATATATAGAAACTATTCTACTAAGCTAGAATTTATTGCTGGCAAAGATAACAATAATGCAAATCTATTTTTCTAAAGAGGTAAAAGACAATTCAGATTATAAAAACTCTGGATATAATGTTTACAACTATAATTTCTGTTACATAGTTAAAGCTCAATATAACAAAATTCAATAACTAATAAAATACCTTTAATATATAGAAATCTTCAAATATTAAAAGACAAATTTATTTATTCAAACACATATATATCATGTAAAAATTTCGCTATATTTAAATATTTACTATAGAAAATTTATTACCTTAAGCTTTAATCATATATGTTAATCTGATAGCTAGTGATTAAATCACTTAATTTTTAGATTTTACAAATATTATAAAACAACAAATAGGCAGCAATGAGCTTAGATTTAAATCTACTAAAATAGATAATCAATAAAAACAAATCAGTCTGGCCAATCTCAAAAAATTTACTAAATATATATCATATTTACTTCGTAAGGTTGCTATTAAAATTTTAATATTATATTTTTCAGTGCCAAAACACAACCATACTAATCATACTATAAACCATATAGACTAAAATAGAATACACAGTGATTCTTTAATAGTACAACACCTAAAAACTATTGAAGACAATTATATATTCAAACCAGCTTAACAAAAAGAACATATTATATGAAACTAACCACGATATATAAGAACAAGAATAAATTTAGAACCTCCTGATGACATTTTATTTTGTTCTGTTGCTTTTGCAGCATTTTACTACCTGGCTCATATGGGAAACTATTATCCAAATTACAAGATGATGTAAATAAAATATCTACAGTACAAGCATTAAAATTTGACAATTCAGACGCAAATACATTTGCAAAAATACAACTACCCAAAACAAAAAACCACAGAATAGTGAACACCCATTCTAATTATCAATTAAGCAAAAGATTAGTTATGCCCTATTAATATATCAAAATCCTAAAAACTAACCCAACATATGCACCAGGAAAGAAACCATTTTTAATAGAAAAGATAAAAGACTAGTTATGAAAGTTTGTTTACAAAAGTGCTAAAATCACATCTACTAGGCTCTAATATAACAGGACATAGTTTCAGTGCAGAAGGCACAACAGAACTGGTGCTAATAGGTGTCCAACTACTACTAATTCAGAGAAAAGGCAGATGGACATCAGACTCATTCTATAAATACATACGAGCGCATCCAGCAACAGTAATATCAATTTTAAGTAAAAGCATATTCTGGTTAATGATCGTTATTTAAACTTTAAAACCAATCGCACTAAAATTAAGAAAAAAAATCACATATCCTGCTATCGAGTGACTATGGTGAACTCTGTACATAGAAGCAGATATACATTGCAGACAACTATAGAGGAAAATAAAAGAAACATGAAATTTTGCACCTTAGCAAATAGAAACATTTTCATTATCTTTGGAAGCCATGCAAAACCCTGCTATTTTGGACTAATTTTACTGCCATTTTTCAAACTTCCTTATTTGGGTGATCTTTATAAATTAACCAAACAAATGGTGTGATCTACATAGATTAACTAATCAAATCGTAAAATTTTTACGAGACAAGGAAAAACAAAAAACATTAAATGAATGTTTAAACCTCTCTTGGTGCATTAATAAAAACGTTGAAAGAACTATTTTGTCTATAATTATTGTCTAATACCTGGTCTCTAAACAAACTTAATCTAATTTTACATATGGGCAGATTTGGCTCATCAGGGTATTTATTAATGTACTTGTTCAGTGATCTGAACTTGGTGCAATATGATTTTTCTGTTTTTTACTTTTCCTGTTCATGTAGCAGATAATGACACCCATTTTTGGCGAAAAAATATCTAAAAAAATCACTTAACCGTATCACAAACTTGAAAGCGTTGTGTATAGTCTATATTAAAATATTAAATATTGATATTTGATATTAGTTATTATTATTAATATTTAATATTGATATGATATAATCTTGATCTTGTGATAGAGTAAAGCAGAATAGACCCAGATAATAATTGGTCCAAGGTATTGAAAAATTTTACAGACGTGTTTGTAGAAATGTATGAATTTTTTAATAATATATCTGAAAAAAATATATAATTTTTTGTAGATTTATTACAAATGAATTCATTATTTTTTGATTTATATTTTTTTCTGTTCAGATTTTTTGCTGTTCTGATGAATTGATAATCTAAAGTTTTGTTTTATAAGAAATGAAGCATTCGTGCAATTAATTTCCTAGCTACACGAGATTTTGCATTATTTATTACGATACATTACACATTGTGTCTATCAAACCTGATTTCTTATTTCACGATTATCGATGTTAAAGGCTAAAAATGATACATCCTAAATAAATAAAAAATCGTATCACATTAAATGAGGCTATGGATTATACAATATGACTTATGAAGCAAAGATAGATGACTAATGCATAATAAGGATTAGTCATAATAATACACTATGATATTTTTGAAGAGAATAAGTCAATATGATGCAGAGGCAATGTGCTAGAAGGATAGAACTAGATGTAATACACAGATAATATATTGAAAAGAAGAAGCTATATATTGGGCTCAGTTTAAAATTGAAGAAAAAAATTATAAAGATCGTGAGTGAGTCATAATAATGATAATAAGGATGATAATTAATTCTCAAAAAGCTCTTTTTAAAGAAATCTGTTTGGGATTAAGAAAATTTTGATCATGAAAAAGTAAAAGTCCAACCAAAGCCTTTTGAACTCCTCACTAAATGAAAGTTATAAAAATGTAGTGAATTTTGTTATCGTAGAAAAACTAAAACCTTTCGGTTAAGTTTCTGTAAATTTCTGTAAATAAAAATAAAAGTTCACGATTAATTAACTATTACACCACACCACTAGCGAATTACTTCATTGTTTTTCTTTGTACATAAATCTGTTTCTTTGTAATATGCTGATTAATGTTAATTTTTGAGTCATTGCTATGTCATCCTTATTTGTAGCTTTTTGTTTTATTAAAAGTGTTACTAGAAATGATAAATGCATTACCGGAATTGCATTGTATCGAATTAACAATAATGATGACAAATTTGAGAAATTACATTCAAGAGTTTTATTTACAATCCTGATTTGTTGATCACGCCATTCAAAAAAAACTATCATCTTAATAACTAGTTGTTATGCATATGAAGAGAATGTAGAATATGTATATATTAATTAATATTATTATTAACACCCAAACTGTTGTAAATTCAGCTCATGTTTTGTTCTTCCTTTTAGTCTATATTAATTCAATCGGTTCCTTTTTCTTATTCTGATGATAAATACACTCTTACTCCAGAAGATCTCCCAAATTCATCTTACTTATTAATTTACTTGGCTTCTGTAGTACCAAATTCTTATATTCCTGATAATAAAGGAGGTTGGAAAAGTTTTATGTTGGCAAGACATTTGTATAATGGAATCACTAACAAAAACATGTTGATTCCAAAGTTATCATATCATATACAACCGAAAATAATTGTTATAATACTCTAAAAAATAATCTAAAAAAAACAGTCTTATCTGTTGTAGGTCATTTGAAACTTGGATTGAAAAGACTTCCTTATATTCTCGCTTCCAATATTGAATAGACTTATGTGATTAAAGACCCTCAACCTTCGCATGCTTCAACTATTGTGAAAGCTCTTCACAAGAAAATTTCAATACAGAACTTGATAATATTGAAGAAAAATATGCTACATTATCTCACTCTTCTCAAAAAAGACAAATAATTAATATGCAAAATTCTTCTCTTAACAAACCTTCAAGCAATAAAACTACATTACTGGGTTTTGCCAAAGTTGCTTCGCAGATTCAAAAAGAAACTTCTTCCACTGAATCTCTTTCTTTACAGTCTACTTCACAAGCTATTAGTACAGAACCTAACACTGAAACCCCTATTCACCTTGTGCCTCATGTGAATGAAAATATGACATTTACTGATGATAATGATTCTACCGAACTCACTCATACTAGTACTCCTGTTTCTCAAAATGAAAAACCTGATAATAATAGAAAGCATTTAAGACCACTTTTACTTGCAAAAAAATAGAATGATAATTGTTTATATTATTGTGTTTTTCTTTATTATATAAAATGATATCTATTTTTTTTTATTGTTTAGTAATAAATAAATTGATTATGAAGTTATCATATTATTTACAATATAGTTGTATTATATAATTCTATTTGGATATTTCAAATAATTAAGTTTCATGTGATTTTCATCAAACTATATATAAAATTATATATAAAATACTAAATTTAAAAAAGTTCTATCTATGTTATTACACCATTTGATTTAAATGTATCATCCAAATTGCACTTTCTAAATTGTTAAGAAATTAATTATTCTTGTGTTTAAAATTACAATACACGATATTATGTGAAATTACGTAAAACTATCAAAATTTAATGTCCTAACTCGTATTTTAACATTAACATTAATATATTGTATGTTCGAACTCTAATTTAAAAATTATATGCATCTGAAAAAGTCACAACATTGAGATCATTTTTTATTTTTATAGTTCTATGCCGCTTTATTACATACTAATTAAAATTAAATTGAACTTACCAAACTATCCAAACCAATCGTCTTTTAATAGTTATATGCTAAAATTCTTACAATAAACCTGATCAATTTGTATCACACTAATATAAAAATATAAAATATTTATATGATTGATCAATTGTTTATCTGTTTATAGTATATAACCAGACTTGAATATTGTGAAAGTCTTGAATTACTTTAATGCTATATTAATATGTATATCTATTTTTCATCTTTAGCATAACAACATTATAACCATACCTAATTACTGTATAGGTTATACTCCAAAATCATATATAAATCCCGTAAATGAGATGTGCTACATCGAAGAGGCTATGGAATACCAAATGTGACTCCTGAAATAATAATAGATGACTAAAGC